GTTACGAAAATTTTGACCTATCTATCAAAATCTGATAAATTTGGGATTAAAAGCGCTCCCAGATAGAAATATGGCGTGTTATTGTAAAATCCTTACTGTATGGATTCTACCTAGCCAGCTAGGGAAAATTCTGAAACAGTCATCGTCAATCATAGTGGAAAGATTTGATAAAATAATACAAAAATTAGTAATTGAAACAATTAATACTATATGTATATCAAATTTGGCCTGTGACCTATATTTAACAATAGAGATCATCATTGTACAAACTCCAAAACAGCATAATAACCGATCAACACCGGGAGGGACACAATCATTCCAAAGATAACACTGAAATTTGGAAAAAAAAAAAAAAAAGTTTCTGTTAATTTAATTTTTCATAGAAATAACTGATCAAAATTGCAATTCGTTATTTGACTTACGCTGTGCTAAGTACATCTGCATGTAACCCGTACTCCTTCGCGTAAATAAAGGAGGTAATGGATTGTGGCAATGCCGCCTGCAAAGTAAAATAATTAATAAATCAAAGAATAAGGAATACTCTCGTCACCTAGTATATGATAGTGAATACCTTTTTGCATTGCCGAGAAAAAAATATTTTAGAATAATGACTTTTTGAAAATTAAAAAATAATAATAAATTTGGATTTACATGTGTGATATTATTTTATTCGGGAATGAGTGTTTGAAAAGAGGGGGAGAAAAATGTATCTTGGATGAAATGGAGCCAAACAGGGCGAAATTCTATGCCATTTCAGTCATGTGATGAATTTTGGTGGAAGCTACCTGTATTATAGCAACACGCAAGACATCGCCATGCAAACCTACTGCGAGCGAACCGAAGGCCATGGCGAGTGGTCCAGCAATAAATCTCAAAGCCATTCCAAATACAGTTAAACTTGCACCACAGGCAATTATTTTCTCTTGCATTGCCATGAACAACCCTGATCAATAGAAACACATAGATAACATAATATATACACGCTTGAATTTTTGCTCTGTTGGTGTAATTTGTTTAGACATGCAGGGATATGATCAGTCTCTCACCCATGCTAAACATGGCAGTGCCTGTACCAGCTCTCGACATGATTAAAATTGATCCTTCTATGATGCTAGGCATTTGCAAATGAAACCTAATTAATAATATAATTTGGTATATTTAAGAAAGTGAAACTAAATAAGTTAGTAATCCCACAAAAAGTAGATTAAACAGATCAAAAAATATATATATAAGTTCGTGTAAGAATTTACTAATCGAATGCTATATGTATACCTGTTAGCTAAGAATGCCCAAATGATGCCTATTATACATGCATATGAGTTTGGATTCATTGCAAGTTTGAGGCCAACAGTTTTCAGCAAAGAGCAGAAAGATGGTCTGGTGGCGTTGCTCAACTCATCCTCCGTCTTTGCAGTAGCATTTTCTTCCAAATCTTTACACGTCTTGTCTCCAAAAGCTAAAGTATCTGTATTATTATTATTGGAATAAAAGTCATTTTCAGTTCGTCTGATTTCTAAGACGAACAATAGGATTGTTAGCCATACAATGGCCTGAATTACTGAAAACTGAACAACAAGTTCAACAGCCGTAGGTCCATACATAGCTTTCAAAAGGGGTACCCCAACAACAAGAGAATTAGTAAGTGTAGACAAAGAGAAGCTTGTTATAGACCAGCAATAACTTCCTTTGCTACTACACTTAGCCCATAACG